AAAGTCTACGTCAGTGTGAACAGCATCAACCCTTTACAAAGGCAAGGGCCTGCTGTAGTGCATCTTCTTTGGTGGAGTAGTGGCCCTTTGGGCCATAAGAGAACCACTGTGACGGCCCACTGGGAGGCCAGGCCTGGAAGCCAGGAGCCTTCACAGTTGCATCTTTTGATGCCCTATGTTGGATTCGACTTCCAACAGGCAACTGAGAGCGAATTCCCGGGTCTGTTGCGCAAAGTCCAACCATGGAGGCAGCAGCAGATGGAACATCATCATGTGATGCAGCTCCCTTGGAGACGGTGCTCGGCTCATGTTCCATCGGCCAGATCTCCTGATCACAAACAGATGGTCCAAGGGTCGCCCCATCTAGTTACAAAGTCCCATTTAACTAACATGAACAGGATCCAAAAAGTAGAGTTTGTTTGTTACATCCCCACAATGCTTGACAACCGGTCACCAACACTCAACGCTCTCCTCATCTGTCCAGATTGACGGGCTTGGAGGTGCTGGGGTTGGAGGGCCAGCTTCATCCGGCAAGGCTTCATCCATCACTCCAGCGTTCAAGTTCTGAGCCTCCATTTCTGCAGCCTCAGCCTCCACCTCATCTGCTTGAGACTCTGGGTCTGATTCACCAGGTGGTTCAGGCGCTTGAGTCAGCAGCTCAGCCAAACTGACCTGATGCAAAGGGTTTTCCTCTCCGGGATTGAGCATGTAGATGCCCACATGGCGCGGACAGTCTTCGCCGGGAATGCTCAAGGTCATCTCCTTGCAATTCAAATGCAAGAGGGAAAATGTCCTGCGGACAGCACCATCTTTGTAGCTTCTGGTTCCATCTGAGTGCAGAACAGTCCTCTCTTTGACAGTCTTCACATTTGCCTCTTTTTGGGTCTTTGGGTTGAAGACCACTGTGCTTTTTGCTGGAACAGCTTCCTTGTCGACCTCGTTGGCATTTGCAACTCGGAAGAGGTAGTTGCACAACCTCTTCTCCAGCAGAAAAGCTAAAGACTCTGGCACCCAGTGTTTCTCTCCATCCTCAGGCTGACCCTTTCCTGTCATGACAAAGATGAAGCGCTTGCGGTTCTTCGCACCCTCGGAGATCAATGCAGCAATCCCGGGCTCATCTAGATTCTCGAGACCAAGGATGTCTCCCAATGAGAGGGGGTCTGTCAGCAAGGAGCAATTGTCCCAGTCATCTTTGGAAAAGCCACCAAGCTCCATTGCTTGCTCTGTGGACAAGTGGCCTGTTTTGACCCAGGCCTTTGAGAAGAGCACCTTTGGAATTCGGAACCAATTCTGGATGCAAATGCTAATGCCTCATTTGGAGCAGCACAGAGCAGCACCAGCTACACAATACATGCAAAGATTTAGCAGGATTTTTTGAACATTCTCAAATTCACAGGCTGCCAAGAGGCAGTCTTCCATTCGGATTTGCTTCCGAACGTGTCCGCTCGTGCCCAATTCCAACATGTAATACGGTGTCCTTTGGAAGAGGTTGGAATTGAATCCCAGCACTGCCCTTGTCGAAGAGTCGTTCATACCCTTGAAGAAACCGTGTACCTGCACCAGCTGTTCTACCAATCCAAATTCCCATGGAATCACAAAACATGCTGACATGGAGTATGGCTAAACCATTCAAAAACATGCGAACATGAACACGATAAGCCTGATCTTGCGGTTGTCCGCGGGCAGACCATCCGCCCGGCTTTCTTGGAGCCACCACTATGTTCATTTCCTCTTGGAACTTCAAGCGGAGCACTTCGAGGCCTGACAAAATCAATCCATGTCTGAGTTCAGTGCAGATGGTGCGGACCACCAGTTGAACCGTCTTCATTTGGTTTGGCTGCGCTGTCATACTTTGTCCTTAGGTCCTCTATGTCTTAATTGCTGTGGTCTCCTCGTGGGGGGG